GACTGAAGAGCCCATCTCTGGATTCCGTATGAAGATGCAATAGAAAGGCAGAGCGCTGCTTTGCCTGACCTCAGCTGAGCTCATCAACAATTGGCTCTCCTCTTTTTTCACCATCCCCTGTGTTTCCACAGATAATTGCAAAAGTGCAGCAAATACAGTCATGCATTGTGATTTCAACACGGTGTGAACATCACGGGGCATGCTTTCACACACACTAAAAGGCTCTGACATCACTAGCATTATCATATGTGAGACCATCAATGTACATGTGGTTCATTAATTCAAAGATCATTATGGGGCACGTAACTAGATTGATCTTGGGGGTTACAAATAACTGTTGGCCAGTAGACACGTTTACAAATCCAGACTATGAGTTTTGAAAACCAACCAGACATATGTCAGACAAAGTGGGAGAACTCTTTAAGAAAGAACTTCCCCACATGTCAGTTTGGATCTTAGGTAAAGGGTTACCCACAGCAGGGCTCAGATATAAAAGACAGCAGCAGGTCATAAACACACAAAAAGGCCCAGCTAACTATGTGAACACCCCTTGGCTCTCCTGACTCACAGTAAACTCCAATCAAAAGCCAAAGGACTTGAGGGTGATGTGCATGCTGTAATCCTACCACTTAGGAAGAAGGGGCAAATGGTCAGGAATTCAAAGCCTCAACTATCAAGCACATTCAAGGCCACATGAGACCCTGTTGCAAAAAAAAAATAAAGAAAGAAAGGGAGGGAGGGAAGGAGGAAGGAAGAAAGAAAGAATGGAAGGAAGAAGGAAGGAAAGAAGAAGACAGCGAACTTGTCATAAGGTTGCCGTGACAAAATGTGGTGACCCCTCAGCAGAGACTGGGATAGGTGAAGAAAGTGGACAGACATAAGTAGAGCCATGTGCTTGTGTGAGCAGAAGAAAGAAATGTGACTGAGAAGTGGACAGGTTCTCCTGAGAACAGCCTGGACCCAGTGCTCACCAGTGACAAATACCAAGTCCTGGAAAAGCGTTACTGAATGGAGGTGTGCAGATCCCTGCAGATCCCAGCCAGGAAGGGCACTCAGCCATGCTGGCACATTCCTGTGACCCCAGATCTCAGAAGCCCGAGGCATGAAGATAGGAACAAATTTAAGCCAGCCTGGGCTCATAACAAGAACCTGTCTCAAAAACAAACAAACAAACAGAAATGAAAAGTCATGTGACTGTCCATACCTCATCAGTTTACAAGGAGCCAGAGAGTCATCCTCCTTTGACTGTCACAGCCTACGTTTTCAAGGTTGAGATACAGCGAGTGAGGCCAGGCTCCCTAAACTAGGATAGGCTAGAGATGCTTAAACTCCTGGACCACGCAACTTTACATCAGATTGAACATTTAACTTTCCTGTTGTTTACCAATAGGAAAAAAGGGCCAATTTAGTGGACTGAAGATACATTTTTGTGTGCCTCCACCGTGCTGTGAGCTGACATAACATCAACAAGTTGTATGTTTTGGAAACTGGTTCTTCTCCGAATCGAAGGAGGGAAATGGGTGCTTAGTGATTCGTCATAGGTGACAGGGCACTTTTTGAGGGACGCTTTATTAGTTAACTGATTTGCTCTATCCAGAGGGCAGCAGTGAGCTTTGGCAATGCTGTTAGCCAAGAAAGAAATTGAAGCAGTGTAGCTAGGGGGAAGCTTCCTCAGACGTCTCACGAGAGCGCTTACAGACGTGAATGTGCGATTGCTACTGTCTTCAGTGTGGGCGGCAAGAATTGAATCTGTCAGGTATACAGAAGGTCCCTGGCCTACCACCATCCATTCTCTCCCTCACATACCATACACTGTTGGGGAATATTGGCTGAAGATGTGTTACATTTGTTTATGCTGTGGAATATTTGTTTAATGACGCAAAGATGTGCTGCATTTATTTAACTCTGTAAAGCTGTGTTACTGGGCCTGTTTAAAACACCTAATCAGCCTAATAAAGAGCCGAATGGCCAATAGCTAAGCAGGAGAGAGAGAGAAATAAGTGGGGTTGTCAGTCAGAGAGAATAAATAGGAGAAAGAGGAGAAAAGAAGAAAGCAGAGATGATGCCAGGGCCAGCCACACAGCCCGCAACTGAGTAAGGAGTAAGGAAAGACATGTAGAGCATAGGTAAAGGCCCAGAGGCAAAAGGTAGATGGGGTAATTTAAGTTAAGAAAAGCTGGCTAGAAACAAGTCAAGCTAAGACGGGCATTCATAAGTAAGAAGAAGGCTCATTGTATTTATTTGGAAGCTGGGTGGTGGGCCCCCAAAGGATCAAAGAGCAATGAATAAAAACAAACAAACAAAGACAACTCCAACATGCAGTATAGGTGTATGCCTTTGGTTAGTGGTGGGGCCATCTTTCCTGAGTGTGGAGGCAAGTTCTCCCCGAAGGGTAGGACCAGTTTGCCTGCTGCCATATCCAGTGAGGGGCAGGAACCCTATGAAAAGCTTTTATTGGATTATTCCCAGGCTTTAAGCTGACAGTGTTCTATGGTAAAATTGCCTGCTTGTTATGCTCTAACTATTATCAAGCCTGAAGTACAGACTTTGATCTAATCGTGAATGATTTTCTTCCTCAGTAATTATTGATGGGCAGCCCAGATCCAAGACATCGGTGTGGCCTTTGTTGGCAACATGGGCCATAGATATCAATACAGACCCTAGTTGTGGTAGGACTATGGACCCAGACATGGTCCTCAACAGCAGCCCTGGTCAGGTTGTTACCATGGTTCCCAGGTAGCTGTTCAGACTACCCAGACTGGCATGGCCTCCCACAGCAGCACAGCCTTTGCACACCAACGTGGCCCTAGGTGGTGGCTCAGACCACAGGCCCCGACATGGTCCCCCAGTGACGACAGTAGCCACAGACATCAACGAAGGCCCCTGCAGCCAGGGCCGTGAATCAAAACCAGACCTTCAATCATAGCTCAGGCCCAGCCATCTCCCTGGACTCAGGTGGCCAGCTGGCCATCCATATCAGCCCATTCCTCACTACCCTCACCTCTCCAGGTCTGTCTCTCTACCCATTTCTCCTCTACCTCTCTTCTACCTCCCCACCCCGTACTCTCTCACCACAGTGATGCCCAACCACCCAACATCAGGGCTCTTGGTTGGGCCATAGGCGGTGCTTGGTTGAGTACTGCCCACCCTAGCCACGAGGTGGTTGTTGCCTTTTCTTTCTCCTGCGCCTTGTCCTAGAGACCGTGGGAAGCACTTGGCATGACAGTAACTGATTTGGATTAATGGTGGTCCCCACAGACCGAAAAGTCTGGGGTGGGGGGATGACGTCATCTGTGTCCACCTCTGATTCAGGGCCCTGTGCTAATTCTTCTCCATCACTCCTCTGCCCCCGGCCATTTACTGCCCATCTCTGCCTTGGTTTGTAGTCAGGAGAGCTCATGGTTGGGATAAGGTAGCCAGTCTCTTGTTGGATGACTTCTAACTGGGTTCTGGTATGAAAAGTGACATCCTCCCTCTACCTTCCTGCTCCATGCTCTGGTGGGGGGAGGGTGCTCATGTGGGTGCTGTGTGTGTACCATGCAGAGTCATTTGAACATGATGCATACTGAATCTTTTCTTGCTCATGTTCTTTGCTCGGGCCCATCTTCATCAGCCTGTGGCTCAGTCAGAAGAACTGACTGAGGACACTGTCACAAAACCTTTGCTCCTTTTGTTACGTGCATGTGAGGATTCCCTGCCATTTTCACTCACTGAGCACTTGAACACCCCTGAGTGTGCCCTTTACAAATGCCCCCCATACTAAGATTTCTTCGCTGAAATTTCTTTATTTAGTCAAAGAATGTGAAGCCTGCTTCCTGTTGGGACTTCAGGAATTCTGAGTCTCCAGTCAATCTTTGTGTGATGCTTTGGCCCCAAGACCTTAGGTTTATTGTAGCTCAGTGCTTCCAAAACCCTCACTGCTGCTTGCTAAAAGTACAAATTCCTGGGTTTCATTTCTGAGCACCTTTCCCATTAGAATTTCTGGACAAGCAGGGCATTGGTGAGCATATCTCTACTCTTATGGAATAAAAGCCTTGGATAAGATGGCTCTCCATGTTCTGGGACACACCAGTAGCCTTCTAGAAACTTCCACTAAAGCCTCTCCTTATGAATAAAAAGAAAAAAAAACAAGAAAAATAAAAACAAAGCAAAACCAAAAACCAAAATAACAATTACCATATTTCCGGCAATTGTAGAAATATATATTTAGTTAGATCCAGTCAACATTTGGAGACGGCTAAGTGTGCATTTTTTGCATCTGGGAACACCCAGTGTGTGTCTCTGGCATGCTGAAGTACAGTTTCACATGGTCTCCTTTCCAGAGCCAGCCCTCTTCTTCCTGCGCTCATTGTCTGTGATCCCAAGGGAGAAGAAGAAGCCCAGCAAGTAGAGCCCTTGGCTGTTCTGTGGTTCAGCTTCCTGACGTGAAGAAGAGACTGAACAAAAGGAACATGTCCCAAGCTCTCAGGCCCAGTTAGCGTCTTTGATGTATTTACTGATGAGCTTCACACTCAAGGGGCTTTCTTACTGGTAAGCTCTGACAAAGCTGAACTTTGGGTTTGTTGTTGGAGGAGCGGGCTACATCCTGCCCGGCTCCTAGCCACCCGGACAGCTTAGCCCCCGAAATAATTACACAGAAACTGTATTCATTTAAACACTGCCTGGCCCATTATCTCTAGCCCCGTATTAGCTAACTCTCACATCTTGATTAACTCATTTCTAATAATCTGTATGCCACCATGAAGTCATGGCTTACTGGGAAAGATTCAGCATGTCTGACCTGGCAGCTTCATGGCAGCTCTCTGGCCCTGCTTTCTTCCTCCCAGAATTCAGTTCTGTCTACCCCGCCTACCTATGTTCTGACCTATCAGGCCCAGCAGATTTCTTTATTAATTAACCAATGAAAGTAACACACAAAGAGAAGGACCTTCTACACCATGGGTTAAGTCTTTTCCTCCAAGGGATTTTGTTCATGGCATAAGATTGAAATGTGACTTTTTAAAAAAAGCCTGTATTAGTTTCCAGTCACTTAGCACGTGTTTAGTGGCTTCAGACAACAGCCATGTATTATTGTCATGATTTCTGAGCTGGACCCTCTGTTCTGGCTTCCACGTGAACCACATTCCATTATGTTCAGAGATTCAGCTCACATGAATGAGAAGAAAATTATACAAAGCATGTATAGTACTAGGCATGTTGGGGATATCTCAATACTCCATGCATCTCAAGGCCTAAGGACAGCATGTACCCTGTATGTCTTTTGACTTACCATCCTTACAACAGCCCTGAGAAGCAGGTCTTAGCTGGCTGTATGGCACTGGTTAGTGATCTCAACACTCCAGAGCTGAGGCAGAATGACTGCCATCTCTAAGCTATCCTAGGCTCATGAGGGACTAACTGAGTGCTATTACCATTATCCCATTTCTGTAGGCAAGTAGCTTGAAGTGTGTATGAGCAAATAAAAGTTAAAATTAGAGACTTAATTTTTCCTTTGAAAAATAAGGGAGGAAATTCCATTCCCTTGCCTCCTCCCACCCATCCAATTCCCGACTTTCTTTTGCTGCCTTTTTCAAATGTTTGCAATAAGGAAGCTCTAAACCCTTGATGTGGAAGACTGAAGAAAGATTATTTTCAGCCTGCTCATCCCCAGGCAGAAGCAGATCTACGTGCCACTTGAGTCTAAATTGTAGGGCTCTCCTTAGTGAACTGTTCTGACTAGCTAGAGTTGAGAGTAAGAGCTCCTTCCGTCTGTTGCAGCCTTTCCTGGGTGTCCTCAATATCTATCATCATGTGGTGTAGCACTTATTCAACAGTACAATCCCTTTCCTTCTTTTCTGCCTGGTTAAAGAGGCTTTTTGAGCTGGGAAGACACTTTATCTTGAATTCCATGTCCTCACTGGGTGCCTAGCGGTTGAGTCATTGTCCAGAGCACCTTGCTGCTGAGTGGCAGAGTTGCACTGTGAGCTCAAGTCCCTGGCTTCAAAGCCCATGTGTCTCACACCTTTCCTCGCTACTTTATTTTACCAAAGCTGTTTGAAAGGGGTGCTTTCTAAAGTTCATTTCCTGACATATTCAAATCATATCTCTTACCCGCACTAACAACAATTTAAAAAAAGATTAAAAGATACTTGCATCATTTGAAGCCAGAGGCTTTCAAACTGAAAACAAATCTCACGTGCCTTTGGCCTTTCCTGAACAGTCCGTACTTTCAGAGGGTTCCAGAAGTAGTGCTCGCCCCGCTCTGTGCTCACTTCCTTCCACGCTGCTGCCCGAAGCATGACTCCTTTCCCAGAGTCAGCAAGTCACTGTGTACCGAAGATCTGCTATCTCACCAGCACGTTAGGAAAGCAAAGAATCATGAGACCCAGCGTCTCCTCTCCGAGTTAGGTCACTGCTGGGAGCAACCGGCTCTACATGTGAAGTGGGAAAGCTTTTGCGAAACTTCCCAGCCTGGCAGGTCCCATGCTCCAGAGGAGATTCAAAGTCAGCCTCAACGTCTGTACAGCAGTACTTCTGCTTGCAAGGAAAAGGATGAGAGAAAGTTTAGTTTTGTGATCCTTGAGGTGTCCCAGCCAAATACAAATAGGAGTGATCTCTTTCATGCTTGAGAACTTGGCACACCAGCCAGCCATCATCCTGCATGTCTGGAACCCCAGCACTTGGAAGGCAAAGGCAGGAGGATCTGAAGTTCAAGACCAGTCCCTGCGTACACAAGACAGTCTCTGAAAACAAATGAAAGTTGTCATTGCATTCCCACCATACCTGGCTGCACGATCTTGTACTTACGGTCTCTTTTCTAAAACGAAGTATCATCAGTGAAACTGAAGCTCTGAGGACGGAACTCACTTTGCCCTGGTTGACTTCTCCAGTGATCTGTGGAAGACTCTAGGAGTCACATGTTCTTATAAAAATCCCAGCTCATGTTCTGTTCTTGGGGGCATGTGTTGTTTTCCTTGCTGAATGAAATTTTATCATGGCTTCTAGTTTCGAAGCTTTTAGTCCCTCTTTCTTGGTGCCATTGATTCCGGACCCATGGTGAGACACATCATGGCACAGAGAGCTCATGGAGAAGGGTCTTTGACCCATCACAGGAAGCAGAAGGAGAAGGTGCTGGGGATCAGACAGCTTCCAAAATCTCTTCCCGGTGGCCTGTGCCCTCCAGCAAGGCTCCACATTTTAAAGATTCCGGGACCTCTGAAGATAACAACTGTGTCCGGGGACCTAGTAGCCAATACCTGAGTCTGTGACAACGTTTTATATTCACACTTGAATGGTACTTTAGTAACATTTTTGCTGTCTAACCTTGAGCTATTAAAGCCTGCTGCCTAGACTTCTCCTAAATTAGCCTTGAGTTACATGCCTTAGAAGTGGGAGAGGGTCAGAGGTTTGTAGATCCGATTGCATTTTTTTACTGCACGTCTACTACAGTCTGATACTGATCACCGCAGTATTTGCCACTGTGTGACTGCCAAAGTCAAATGCTGTTCTCAAGGTTTCCTGATAGGAATCCAGAGAACATTCTGCCTTGGGAAAACCCCAGCTGTATTGTGATATCATGACAGTTAATATAAAAGGAGGTCAACTTGACCTCTTTATCTTCCAAAGGCCTGGTCCTTGCAGGGTAACCTATGGGCTCCAGGAACATCCTGCTGACGTTGCTATCCCCCATATCACAGGAAGCAAGCAGGTCCCACCAGGTCTGAATAGTATGATATACCCTTGTCAGTGAGGTCTCCAACTTGCTTCTCTCTGTATCTTTGTGGGGAAATGGAAGTGGCCTAGATCTTAGGCATGTTCCCAAGAGTACAGGAGAGTCTCACAGTTGTTATACGTGGCCCAATGCCACAAAGATAATTTCCTCTTCATTTTGTCAATCTCTTATTTTCCCTTTTAGTTATTTATTTGTTGTGAGGGTACATAGAGGTATCATTTGTCCCAGGTCACATGAGTCAACTTTTGTCCTTTGGAATACTTCCCATTGCCCCACAGTTTATCTGATTTGTCCTGAGATCTGGACACTTGTTCACTTTCCAGTTCAGTATCTGTGTTAAAGGTTTTGCCACAATGAAACAGTTCTACAAAAGGGATGACCGTAAACTATGTTTGCAGCCAAGCCTTGTCCCATAGAAGACCCAATATCACACACTGACTACACGGCCACTGCTGCCATTCTTTGTCACAGCACAGTTTATATGCCTGTCTGGTGTCATTTCAGCCTATTTAGGTTCAAAACTTATTTAGTAGAATAAGGTCAGCCCAGGGTTACACAGAAGTCCTGTCTGAAAAAGTTAACTTGGGAGAAAATACGCCTATTGTTCCTTCCCAATTTTCTTATTTCAGAATAGTGGAGAAGAAGAAAAAGGAAACAAAGGTGTCAAATATCCATGCTGCTCTGCCATTCTCTAACAAAGCAATCTGAACATCACGTTCATCACCTTTGAATTGGTCTACTGAACTGTACTGTTTGAATTTTGCATACTCGTACCCAAACTCTTTAAGGTGCTATTCAATAGCATCCATTTCTCTTAATTCAAAAGTTTTCATTGAATTTGGATGTGATGGCACACATCTGTAACCCCAGTACTTGGAGGTAGAAGCAATAAAATTTACAAGCTCAAGGCTAGCCTTCGTTACATAGTGAATTCTAGTCCAGTCTGGCTACAGGTGATATCTATGTCTTTCTGTCTGTCTCCTCTCTCATATAGATATAGATAGAGATAAATAAAGATATTATACTGGCGGTTGTGTGTGTCAACTTGACGAAAGCTAAAGTCATGAGAAAGGTAGGAGTTTCAATTGAGGAAATACCTCCTTGAGATCCAACTGTAAGACATTTTCTCATTTAGTGATCAATGGAGAAGGGCCCAGCCTATGCACGGTTAGTGGTGCCATCCCTGGGCTGCTGGTCCTGGGTTCTATAAGAAAGCAGACTGAGCAAGCAATGGAAACAAGCCAGTAAGCAACACCCCTACAGGGCCTTTGCATCAACTTCTACCTCTGTGATTCTACCCTGCTTGAGTTCCTGTCCTGATTTCCTACAGTGATGAATTACAATGCTTAAGTGTAAGCCAAATAAACCCTTTTCTCCCCAACATGCTTTTGGTCATGGTGTTTTGTCAAAGTGATATAAACCCTCACTAAGACAAATTGGTATCAGAAGTGGGGTTTTGCTCTGATAGGCCTAACTGTGTTTGCATTTGGAGGAATTTGACCTTTTATACTTTGGGTTATGAAAGCAGTGGGATGCTTTAAGCACTGCTTAAATGGGTCATACTAGTAGGAGCATGGAAGACAGCCGTGCTGAGTATGATTTGATTAACTATGGAGATCAAGAGGTTTCAAAGGAGAAGAATGGTAGCATGTGGCCTAGAGACTGATCTTGCTATATTTTGGTTAAGAAAGTGGCTGCCTTTTGACATTTTCTGAAGACTATGCCTGAGGTCAAAGTGAAGAGTTTTGGATTCATTCCATAAGCAGAAGAAATCTCCAAACAGCCAAGTATAAATGATCATGTGACTTTTAGTAGTAACTCAAATGAAGACTTATAACTAAAAGGGGAAAGCTGAGCAGGGCAAATTAGAAAATGTAAATTTTAAGAAGAAAAAGCATTAGGAAGTGGAATGGAGCTAAATCCTGTATTCAAAGAGATGAATGAATTAAGAACTGTAGTAAAGAGAGTGATGACCTCGGGGCAAGATCCCATCCAGCTGTTTCCAACTTACAAAAAGGAACTAAAAAAAAGCTTAGAGCTGGGTGTGGTGGTATACACCTTTAATCACAGCACTGGGGCATCTTTGAGTTTGGTCTAAAGGGCAAGTTCAAGGACAACCAAGTTTAGGCAGTCAAGGAAAACATAAAGCTGTTAAAGATGTAACTAAACAAGGGAAGATGTTCCAGCCTCAGTAAGCAGCAGAACTTGGAAGCTTTGGCCATATAGGTCTCACTTTAGAGTTAATGATAGAAGAAAGGTGTTATGGAATAAAGCTGCTGAGGCCAGGCATGTGTCAAGGGTATCTCTGAATGGAGACCTAGCAGAAAGACCATTGCATGAAGCTGTGAAGGTGAAGCTTAGATTGCCTTGAAGAACCCAAGATGTTAGAAATGCCAGAGTCATGGGATACCTGCTGAGGAGAGCTGCTAACAGGGAATGGAACCAGTCCAAGAGAAATAAGTGTATTACAATCAAACCTGAACAGAGTTGGAGATCTGAAGAGCAATTTGACATCAGACATGGAGATGCAGAGTTTGAAGTTTGCCAAGGTGGTTTTGCTCTTGCTTTGATCCAGTATTTCATCATTATATATTTGGAATGGTCATGTATATCTTGTACCATTATATGTTGGAAGCAGGTCACCTGCATTTTGGTTTTGATTTTTACAGGGTTATTACAGTAAAGAGATTACATGAATGTCAAAAGAGACCTTGAACTTGGAACTTTAAAACAAGTTGGAGATTGTTATATACTACAGGAATTTTTGAAGTTGAACCGAATGTATTTTCTGCATTATGATATGGCTTATAGCCTTTGGGAGTCAGGGAGTGGAATGTGGTGGTTTGAAAGATAATGCTCCCCAAAGGGAACAGCACTATTAGGAGATGTGGCCTTGTTCGAGGAAATGTGTCCTTGTGGGGGCAGGCTTTGAGGTCTCTTTCGCTCAAACTTTCTCAGTGTGACACCCAATCTAAACTTATTGTTGCTTGCAAGATGTAGCAGCTACAGTGCTCACTCGTTTCCTGGCTACCCAGACCTGAATAATCACACAGAAACTATAATTAATTACAACACTGTTTGGCCTATTAGCCCAGGATTCTTATTAACTAGCTCTTACACCTTAAATTAACCCATTTCTATTAATCTGTGTACCAGGACTAGGTTGTGGCCTACTGGTAAGGATCTGGTGTCTGTCTCCTCCAGCAGCTACATGGCATCTTCCTAATTCTGCCTTCTCTCTCTCTCTCTCTCTCTCTCTCTCTCTCTCTCTATATATATATATATATATATATATATATATATATATATATATATATATCTATATTGTGATGTCCTGCCTGGTTTTACTCTGATAATTCATTGGCCAAAACAGTTTTATTCATCAATCAATAACAGCAACACATATATAGAAGGACATCCCACATCACTCCAGCACCATGTTTGCCTACATGCCACCATGCTCCCCGTCATGATGATAATGGACTGAACCTCTGAACTGTGAGTGAGCCAACCCACTTAAATGTTTTCTTTAGAAGCCTCACTGTGGTCATGGTGTCTCTTCACTAGAAACCCAAACTAAAACAAACAGATATTTATAAATATAATATAACTATATAGTTATAGATATAATCACAAAATTTTAAAGCAACATATTTCACACGCAGTGACAGGTGTGTTAAAAATTATAAAGATGAACAGAAGAGCCATCACCAGCTGAGAGCTAATGATCAATAGATGCTATAAGATACACACATCGCTGACATTCAACAGTGGATAAAGTTGATAAAGGCCTATAGAAAGGGACAAGTGGAGGAATTTCTGCTTGAGGTTGGGACACTTTGTGGATGGTCAGTTAGAAAACTGGGGTTGTTAAATCTCACTGTGAAGGGGAAATAGAATAGACATCACAAGTGGATGGGGGAGGGGTCTGGGTGTGGCAAGAGCATGGGAATAGGAGTTCTGGGGAGGATGCAAGGAGAGAGTACTGGAAAAGACAACTGAAATCAGGCTCATCTCCAGGATGATCTAGAAACCGAGTGTATGGACACTTCCAGGAATCTATGAGGATGACCCTAGCTATGACTCCTAGCCAGGGGAGATGAACTGGTCATCTCCTATAACTATGCAAGACTTCCAGTGGAGGGATTGGGACACCAACCCAGCCACAGACCCGTTGACCTACTGTTTGCCCTGCCTACAAGATATGCTGGCGTAAAGGTGGTGCAGAAATTATGGCAGCAGCCAACTAATGACTGGTCCAACCTGAGAACCATACCATAAGAGGGAGTCCGGTCCACTGTCTG